TCGTTAATTCAGAAAAAAAACCTAGTGCGCTCTGCCTTGCTACGTTAGCTAGCTGTTTATATTTGCACCTCCAGGATATTTGCACCTCCAGGAAAATGGCGTATTTATATATATATATGGCGCGCATTGCATTGTGGGTAGCTCGTGACGTCACTGTGTGAAAGAATGGGGCGGGCCATTCTGCATGCGTTAAATGCGTTAAATATTTTAACGCAATTAATTAAAAATAATAATTACCGCCGTTAACGCGATAATTTTGACAGCATTAAAATAAACGCAAATAAATTATAAGTTAGCAGAATAATTACGGTTTCAAATCCTCAAGGGACCTCCTGTAAACAATACAAATGTGGGAATTATTGATTGAGAAGGAAACAACTGGTTAAACAAAGAGCAACTCAAGAACACTGGAGCTGAGAGTTCTCTGAAGGGAATATTTTTGGTATATTGTAGCATCAGTAAACCATGCCCTAGTTTACTGATGCTATTTCAAAACTGGTTTACTCTTTACTTTAAAGGTCTCCGAACAATCAAAATGCACTATCTGATGTCTTTTATACATAAAGATGTGTCCCCGATGTGTCAGTAGACTCACAAAGTGTCAGAAAATAAAGCCTCTCTCTTTTCCTCCGTACCCACATCTCTAAAAACGGGGGAACAACGGAGCTGATCCAGATTTGAGTCCGATATGACGTAATATCTGAAATGTGAGCGGGCTTTACGCCCACGGCCCTATCAGAAACGTTGCTATCAGAAGCAATGAGACGTGTTTTGGACGTAATGTGGTCTTTGTTTACATTAGCAAGCATCGCTAACACTCAGAGCTAACTTGTACTGGAGAGAGTGTGTGTAAAGAAGCAGGAAATACAAAAAGGAACTCACCTTGTGGTAAACCTGAGAGAGAGAAAGCCTTTGAGCTCCATAGTGTTTCAGAGATAATCCTTGATGTGGTTTTGAACAGGATGGTGTTTCATCACGGCAGCATTTAGCTGAGTTTCTGCTGGTAGAATTCTGATCAGGCATTAGCTCCGCCCCCTCTTTTAAAAAAAAATCTACTGACCCAGAATCGGCACTTTAGTAACAGACTTGAAATGAAGGGATAAGAGGGATGTCTAAAATACATGATCTGTTTGGTATTTTGAGCAAAACACTTCATACACATGTTTTTTTATAAACTGTTATATATCTGAGACCTATAATATATGCCTAAAATAGTATAACAGGAGACCTTTGACCTCATTTTCTCTACTGCTTGTCGCAGATCTTTGAAAGCCGTCAGTCATGTCCACCGGCAGCAGCGTGAGATCGTACAAGGAGCGCTGCGTGGACCCGGTGGAAAACAGACTCCCTGATCCCAGAACAGTGAACAAAGCTCACCTGAAGGACTCTAACGGGAAAGAATCAGAAACCATCGGCTTCATCCCTGGTTCGGCTGATCCTTCATCTGCGACGCAAACCTGCAACCCCTGCGTACCGACAAACAGCTGCAGGAGTTTTGTGTGCAGCGTCTTAACATGTGGACTGTATCGAGTCTGCCAGAGATCCATCTTATCTCCGTGCATCAAGGAGAGATCCCCGGATGAACCAGAGAGCGTGAGTCTACCATCTGTAAACGCAGGAGGAAACAAAGAAGAGGAAGACGACGAAGGAGATTGGCTCGGCGACGTCTGCTTCGCCGGAGTAAAAGTCAACACTTCAAGAGAGTATTTAGATGAAGATAGATCTCAGTCGTTTGTGGTTTCAACCGGTGGTCAGAAACAGGCGTCGCTGCACGAGTCCATGAGGTTTTTGGACTGGGAGGACGGAGAGGAGAACGTGGATTCTCTGATCACAAAGAAGCTGCTGGAGCTTTACTCTGAGTATCAGATCGAGGAGTTGGCCAGGTGCACGACAGACTCTGTGTTCCTGAGGAAGAGCAAAGCCATCAACCAGCTCATCAACTCTCTGGCAGAGGAACATAAGATGGGAGAGCAGGAGGCAGAGTGCAGATTGGTGAGAGGAATCATCCGCATCAGCACCAGAAAGAGCAGCAAGAGGAGGCCGAACGTCTCTAAGGGGGAGAGGACGATGTCGGACAGCGGCAACGAGACCATGAGGGAGAGCGACTCATTTTCATTCAGCAACAACAGTGAGATGGCTTATTTTAGTAAAGAAACGACGTATGAAAACACGCCTGAAACCATTACAAAGCTGCTTTTCTTCCGGCATGACTCTGTTTTTCACTCTGTTTCCTCCAGATGACTACAAATCAAATCCAAACATCCAGATATCAGAGCTGACCTCCTCGGACCAGTGTGCCAGAGAGATGTGGAGGGCCAACGGAGGTGAGGAATCACTCTTTTAACTCCTACTCTTGTTTTTATATGATAAGGGAATGTAGCTTTGGTTGCGTGTCATTCAATTATTTCCCAGTTGTTTGGTTAGCGGCTGTGAGCAATGTGAATGTTTTGTTTTGCATAACTTGGCTGGTGAAACAGGGGAAGTCCGTCCTGCGTGTGCCGTAAGTGGTTTGACTTCCTGGTAAATTCATTTCCAATTTAAATCGTGTGCTTTTAGAGACAAGAAATCAGCATTTTATTTTATTTTCATCGGGATACTTTTTTTTGTTGTTTTTCATTCCCCTTTCGTCCTTTTTTAAATGATCTTCTCTCTAGTGTCTCTACTTTGACATGTCTCCAGGCTTTAATGTTCAAAAAGCTCTTTATTTTTCTCATACAGCCAAAAAATGTGATGCAGCGTTACTATACTTCCTTTTTCACCCTTTGTACATGATTACCCCTACAAAAAAACACAATTACAATTTAAATATTAATCTAATCATTTATCAAAATCAGACGTTAAACAGGACACATTCTGCTGATGTTCAGGTGTATATCAGTATGTAGCGTCTCTACTTTAAAGAGTCCTCTCCTGCTGATGTGCAGGTGTATATCAGTATGTAGTGTCTTTACTTTAAAGAGTCCTCTCCTGCTGATGTTCAGGTGTATATCAGTATGTAGTGTCTCTACTTTAAAGAGTCCTCTCCTGCTGATGTTCAGGTGTATATCAGTATGTAGTGTCTCTACTTTAAAGAGTCCTCTCCTGCTGATGTTCAGGTGTATATCAGTATGTAGCGTCTCTACTTTAAAGAGTCCTCTCCTGCTGATGTTCAGGTGTATATCAGTATGTAGTGTCTCTACTTTAAAGAGTCCTCTCCTGCTGATGTTCAGGTGTATATCAGTATGTAGCGTCTCTACTTTAAAGAGTCCTCTCCTGCTGATGTGCAGGTGTATATCAGTATGTAGTGTCTTTACTTTAAAGAGTCCTCTCCTGCTGATGTTCAGGTGTATATCAGTATGTAGTGTCTCTACTTTAAAGAGTCCTCTCCTGCTGATGTTCAGGTGTATATCAGTATGTAGCGTCTCTACTTTAAAGAGTCCTCTCCTGCTGATGTTCAGGTGTATATCAGTATGTAGCGTCTCTACTTTAAAGAGTCCTCTCCTGCTGATGTTCAGGTGTATATCAGTATGTAGTGTCTCTACTTTAAAGAGTCCTCTCCTGCTGATGTTCAGGTGTATATCAGTATGTAGCGTCTCTACTTTAAAGAGTCCTCTCCTGCTGATGTTCAGGTGTATATCAGTATGTAGTGTCTCTACTTTAAAGAGTCCTCTCCTGCTGATGTTCAGGTGTATATCAGTATGTAGTGTCTCTACTTTAAAGAGTCCTCTCCTGCTGATGTTCAGGTGTATATCAGTATGTAGTGTCTCTACTTTAAAGAGTCCTCTCCTGCTGATGTTCAGGTGTATATCAGTATGTAGTGTCTCTACTTTAAAGAGTCCTCTCCTGCTGATGTTCAGGTGTATATCAGTATGTAGTGTCTATACTTTAAAGAGTCCTCTCCTGCTGATGTTCAGGTGTATATCAGTATGTAGTGGCTCTACTTTAAAGAGTCCTCTCCTGCTGATGTTCAGGTGTATATCAGTATGTAGTGTCTCTACTTTAAAGAGTCCTCTCCTGCTGATGTTCAGGTGTGTATCAGTATGTAGTGTCTCTACTTTAAAGAGTCCTCTCCTGCTGATGTTCAGGTGTATATCAGTATGTAGTGTCTCTACTTTAAAGAGTCCTCTCCTGCTGATGTTCAGGTGTATATCAGTATGTAGTGTCTATACTTTAAAGAGTCCTCTCCTGCTGATGTTCAGGTGTATATCAGTATGTAGTGGCTCTACTTTAAAGAGTCCTCTCCTGCTGATGTTCAGGTGTATATCAGTATGTAGTGTCTCTACTTTAAAGAGTCCTCTCCTGCTGATGTTCAGGTGTGTATCAGTATGTAGTGTCTCTACTTTAAAGAGTCCTCTCCTGCTGATGTTCAGGTGTATATCAGTATGTAGTGCCTCTACTTTAAAGAGTCCTCTCCTGCTGATGTTCAGGTGTATATCAGTATGTAGTGTCTCTACTTTAAAGAGTCCTCTCCTGCTGATGTTCAGGTGTATATCAGTATGTAGTGTCTATACTTTAAAGAGTCCTCTCCTGCTGATGTTCAGGTGTATATCAGTATGTAGTGGCTCTACTTTAAAGAGTCCTCTCCTGCTGATGTTCAGGTGTATATCAGTATGTAGTGTCTCTACTTTAAAGAGTCCTCTCCTGCTGATGTTCAGGTGTGTATCAGTATGTAGTGTCTCTACTTTAAAGAGTCCTCTCCTGCTGATGTTCAGGTGTATATCAGTATGTAGTGTCTCTACTTTAAAGAGTCCTCTCCTGCTGATGTTCAGGTGTATATCAGTATGTAGTGTCTCTACTTTAAAGAGTCCTCTCCTGCTGATGTTCAGGTGTATATCAGTATGTAGTGTCTCTACTTTAAAGAGTCCTCTCCTGCTGATGTTCAGGTGTATATCAGTATTTAGTGTCTCTACTTTAAAGAGTCCTCTCCTGCTGATTTTCAGGTGTATATCAGTATGTAGTGTCTCTACTTTAAAGAGTCCTCTCCTGCTGATGTTCAGGTGTTTATCAGTATGTAGTGTCTCTACTTTAAAGAGTCCTCCCCTGCTGATGTTCAGGTGTATATCAGTATGTAGTGTCTCTACTTTAAAGAGTCCTCTCCTGCTGAAGGTTCAGGTGTATATCAGTATGTAGTGTCTCTACATGTCTTCATGCTTTAATGTTCAAAAAGCTCTTTATCGTTCTCAGCCTGTGCTGCAGGACCTCTTTTCACCCTCTGTCTGAAACCATAGCCTGGTTGGTTAGCTGGGCGGCTCTGTTGTGATTGGTGAACCACTTAGAGATGTCCCGCCCCTTAGCCTATCACGTACAATGTGTTGGAGCTGGCCAATAGAAGCGCCAGTGATGTCCCTTTGTCCATGAAGTAAACAAAGGAGTCTAATGGAGGCATTTTGCAGGGATCTTAGCGTTTGCAGACCACGCACAAAAACCTATTAAAAAAGCATAACAACAGAGCCTCGTTAATAAATGTTTTTTTCACACCACGTTTAAAGTCTTTTTTTACCTCTAAGTGTTTAATGATTCAAAGTTGGAATGCACTGAATAGTTGAGGAACTTATCGATATGCCAGGATTAACCTTTTTTTTCCGTCTTTTTTTCCAGGTCGTACCTCCAGCTCCTCCTCTCACGCGGAAACAAACTCCTCAGGTGTGCCTCTCATTCGCACCTCTGTGAGAACATGAGTCCTGCAGATTCTACGCTTGAATTATTATTATTCGTCCTGCCGTGTCACCAAGGTCACGCTATGGGGACGTTGAAATGCGACACTTCTTGCACTCAGGAGACTTTCTGAGCCCGGCTCTCTGCAGGAAAGAAAAAATATGAAAAAGCTCCACATTGTCTGAAGGACGTCGGTGAACTCAGGGTAGCGTGTAGATATTTATGCTTGGAAATATAATGTGTATATTTGAAGGATTGCCTGATAGAGCAGGTAGATATCAGCAGCAGCAGTTTCACCGTGCCTTCGTCCTTGAAGGAGTCATTGCTCATGAAACCTGACTCGTTCGACTCGCCCCTTCGTTTTTCTCTGCTTTTTTGTTTTGCAAAGATGCATTTCATCAAATTGTACACATCTTATATTTGATTTTAAACTCATTTGTGTGACTTTTAAACTGTATTCAAAGCTCTTAATTCAGTGGTTATGCTTGACATATTTACAGTAATTTATGCTTGGGTAGTTTTGCCATATTTCATATTAATGTGGCTAAAGTGTGAAAAAATGAAGTAATACTGTTTTGTTAGGAAGGAAAAAGCAGTTTTGTTGAATGGCTCAAATCCTGTTCTTTTAAACGTTTCTTTTTGCCTGGAAGTACAGAAATACAGAAACCAAAGAAGTTGTACTTTAAGACATGGGACTTTCAAAAAAGCCAAAGAAGTTGTACTTGTTCAGTGCGTAATGAACCAAACTTTGTCTTGGACACAATTTGCTTTGGTGTAATTGCATGATGACTATTGCAAACAACTTTTAAAATGCTTGTTTCCTGAATGGAGTTTGGTTTCGATCAGAGCTAAATGCTAACACTTTAGCCGCTCAATTATCCAGTGTCATCTAAATCAGGCATTGAAACGGCAGCGTGATCTTGTTTTAAATCATTGATATCTTCATAATGTGTAACTTTAATATGATATGAACTCACCGCCACTTACAATGTATATTATTAATTAAGGTACAAAAGAAAATACATACATATATCTTTGTGTCTTTGTTGTCATGACAACCAATTCAACTTATCATTGTTGTCCAGACAAGTTGAAAGCTACAGAAAAAGTGAATAACTGTGCCTTGAGTCAAGATGTGTCTTCTTCTGTGATGTCCAAACAATGTGTGTGTTTAGCTTAAGTATAATAACATGAAGCGAAACGGCATTTTCTATGGCCGTCCTGTCTGTAACTCATATCTCATAAAATGTTCTTAAATCTGCTGTGACCTGCAGCTAGACTTCAGGTTGTATCCAGTGAACTATAACTTATTAAGGACATTATCTGAGGCTGACTCATGAAATGAAAGTCTGTTTTGCATGTGGTGTTTGCTCCTGGGTGCTGATGGGAATTTTGCCAGCTGACTCGGTGGAATTTATCTGTGCTTCTTATCAGCATTTGCTCATAGTGTAATGTTGCAGGTAATACACGTATACAGAACTCTCCAGATTCTCACAGCATCTACTCTCTCGTCTTAGCATACAGAATAAACGACTTATGTGACAGGATAGTTTAGCTAACTAAACCACACAGCATGTTTTTAGTGTGTCAGGAATTTGGCTTCAATGTGGTTTTTAATAAAATGATGTGAAACTGGTAGCTCTGGTTTTGATCCAGGAACATACATGCAATGTCAAATTGATTAATGTGTCATATCAACTGTCAAATAATCGTTGGATTCATACTTTGCATTTTGTTTGCGTTCAGAAGGTTTTTCTTATATTGCTTGTACTCTCGCCAAGATTTCATATTTCCTGCAAAGATGTGTTGTGCCTATATTGCCAGTAACCTATCGTTTAACTGTAAAAACAATAAAGTAAATTAAGTAAAAGTGAAAGAAGATTTTATTGAGTTTTGTTCGCCACATATGAACACATGCAGGACTCAAAAGTTCCAGCATCTGGAGAGGACACCAAGTCAGCTATCATTTTAGATATAAGTAAGTTGTATATTTACAATGCTTAATAACCATCATCGACACATGATAAAGCATTTTTTATGGTGACTTACGAGATCAGGTATCATATAACTTGATAATTGCTGTACACAGATTTTTCTTTGCATGGATCAAGTCCCATGGTTGTAATACATTATATTTTTTGATTTTTCACTCTTACAATGCATTAAATGTGATTAAGGTTAAACAATATCATTTAATCTATGCATGAACAACACTTACAATTGCATTTGTTCAACAGAAACTGGAATCCCACACTTTTTGATGATGAACAAGACAATTATAGTTGTAATTCATGTATATTTCCCCCAAAAAACAATATATATAGTTTTCATTTCATTGTACACATCTGAAAAAATAATAATATGTTAATATGTTTTATTGACATCTTGAATCATATGATTACCAGTATGTTTTTTATACTATTGCTTTATATTAAAAGTATGAATTATGAATTACTTTAAGATCATTTTTTAATGTTATTTATTCACAACATTGTGGCCATAAACTCACTCAGCTCACATATAATAATAACGGGCTACTTTCCTTGCCTTTTCAAATGTAAAAAAGTGGTTTAAAATGTATATTTACGATGAAAAATCAAAATGTTTTTGGTGTTCTCTAGTCTAGAATATTCTTCCTGCAGCACCTTCCTTTCCACCCTGAATCAATACTCTCACCTCATTGGATATTTCAACTGTCATTCAAAATGTCTCCTTCCAATTGGTCAAGTCTCACGTGGGCGGGTTTAGTTTCCAGGAAGTGAATAACGTGACTACGGGCCTCACGTTGTCGTTAAAATCTACTTTTTGCTTGTCATTCTCGCAACTAACGTTTAATTTAACCGGTGTTAAAGACACCAACATGGGGGACGAGGAGGACAAGTATGACGGCATGTTGCTCACTCTGGCACAACAACAAGAAGGAGGAATACAGGAGGTAAGTTAGTGTGTTGATAACATGTGGAAGCTACCATGCTAATATAGAAGCTAATGCAGTTAGCCTGTATGCTAACATGCGCCTCTCGCCTGTATGAGGAAAAAACGACTATATTACAGTTTTAAGCACGTTTTGTAATGATTATCTGTAGCTGAATAGATCATAACTTTACTTGTTTAATACATTGGATGTTATGTTAGATTTGGCATACAAGAAACAAACGTTTTAGCTCTTGTTAAAATCAACATTTATTATGAAGAAAACATCAAATTGACAGGGTTAAGCAACAATTATTATGATTATCAATAGCTGAACACACCATTACCTTACTTTTAAATAAATAGGATGTTATGTTAAACGTTGCATACAAGAACCAAATAAATTAGCACCACATTTCAATTTAATCTCGTTAAAACTCGTTTTTTAGGGTTAATATTCTTTGAAAATTAGTATAATGTTAGATAAATATACCTCAAACATCTAAACATTATTATGCAGCCGTGTGTTGTGTGTGTGGGGTCAAATCTTCTGGAACAATCTGAATTATCTTGGTACACACATTTTCTAATTATTGAGGATAACTAAATGTATTATTATTAACATTAGGCTGAGACAGTTTTTGAGGAATATTTTCTTCTGCAGTAGTGTGCTACTATGCCAAATTGTAATATAAGGATTAAAGAATATTATGTGTAAAATGTAGAATATGTTGTTCATATTCAAACTAACCATGAAGATGATGAATACCAACAATGCTCAGTATATAATGAATCTGTGTGACATCCTTTTCTTCTTCTCTCAACAGTTAGTAAACACATTTTTCAGTTTCCTGCGCCGCAAAACAGATTTCTTCACCGGTGCCGAACCAGGTGCTGCAGAGAAGGTAAGAAATGCGACTTTTAAGAACCGTGCATCAGAGCTATACCTCAATTTATACCTCATCTCTTTGTTTTTCAGCTAGTCAAAGATGTGGTCGTCAAACACAATAAGCTAGCGATGAAGTCCCAAAAGGAGAAGCAGGCGAAACTGGAGAAGGAAAAGAAAGCGAAAGCTGAAAAAGCAGAAAAGTTAGCGGAGGAGAAGAAAGCAAAAGAAGACGGTCCAAGGATTCAGGAACTGACCGATGAAGAAGCAGAGAAACTTCAGTCTGAACTCGACAAGGTGAAACCCCAAAGCCTTGAAGCTCTTGTCAGTGGAAACTAGGGCTGTGCGATTATGGCAAAAATCATAATCACGATTATTTGGGTCAATAATTGATATCACGATTATTTTGACGATTATTCATTGACCATTTATTGAACTTTAAAACAAATAATATTTTACCAATAAACAAGATCAAATATGTTGGAGCGCACTTCCAAAACCATACTAAACATATATTATTAATATGATAAATAAAAATAAATTAGACCAAAATAAATGAAATCAAATATGATGCAGTGCACTGTCACAACCTACTGAACACTCCTTAACATATAGCCAACATGTTGGTAAAACATATTCAACATATTCCACTCAGTTAAACGTTGAAGGCTGGCAAACCGTCATGGTCCAGAAGTAACAGGAAATAAATGTTGAACTACAATTTAAGACCAAATAAAAATGTTTAGGCCACCATGGCAAATGCTGGTAGGGCTGCTCGTGTCATCTCTTAAAGATGTTTTGCAAGAAACACCAGCCTGTTTACATGGTCTAGTTTCAGAGATGAGCGCAGGCAGGTGACAATATTGCCACCTGTACTGAAGACCCTCAGCCACGCCCCGACACATGGGGTGACGCAGGCCAATCACAAAGCTTTGATGCGTTCAAGTGCATTATTTTGGCACAGGAAGATTATGTTACAGGACATTAACGATAAAACAGAATATTGTTGTTCTATTTTTAGACACATCTCGCGATCGACTGGTTGGGCACCCCTGGGCTAGACCATAGGACTGTTGTGGTCGCAAAGTAGTCAGCTGAAGCTACATCTCTCTCAACTTCCCCACGGCATTTGTCATATAGCGCAGGCAGCGCAGACCTGCTGAAATAATACCGAGACGGCATCGCGTAACGCTTGTCCAACGTGTTGACAAGTTGCTTAAAGCCCTGGTTGCTAACAGTGCTAACTGGGCACATATCTTAGCGATGTGAAATGTAATGGCAAAGTACTTGCAAATAGTGGAAATAGTTGTACCCTTCTTTTTAACGAGTTGCTGCTCTTGTTCTGACATCTTCGCTCGCGCTGAACACTCACAACACATGTCACTCCCACGTGGCCGAGTGGGCTTTTAGGGAGGGGCGAAAGGGCACCCAGCAAAATAATCGTATTTTGTCAATTATGCTGTTTTCATAATCGTCGCAAGCCATAATCGTAATCGCGATTAAAATACGATTAATTGCACAGCCCTAGTGGAAACCATCATGTATTACACAAGTCCATTACACTAGTGGCTCAGTCAGTAGGGGCTTGGAGCTGTAGGGTCGCCGGTTCAAGTCCCCGACCAGACCTAAAATATGGAGTGTGGACTGCTACTTGGAGAGGTCCCAGTTCACCTCCTGCCCTCCCGGTTCTATCTATCTACATATTTATTGATTTGTTGTGTGTATTTTAGAAAAAGAACGAAGAGGAGAAAAAGAAGGATGAAACACCAAAGCCTGAACCAGAAAAGACGGACAAAGTAGATAAAGAGAAGGGGGTAAGTGGACAGATCTACAGAGAAACTTTGGTTTGAATCACAGGTGTCAAACTCAAGGCCCGGGGGCCAAATCCGGCCCTTGGTGGATTTAATTTCGGCCCGCAGGATAATTTCTAATTGCTATTAGATCTGGCCCTCCGGTATATTGCTCTCACACCTTCACTCCATCCTGAGGGTCTCCTCCGCTCAGAGCCTGAGCCCAAACATTGATGACCTTGCCCCCAAGATGAGATGCCAAGTATCTGAGCTAGCATCACAGAGCAGCACTGAGTTTAATGGATGCTTCCTTCTGCACTTTCTCTCAGGACAACAGGGCATGTTTGGTTTTCTCTTTGAGGGGAATAGTTTTTAGAAGCTGTTGTTGGCCTGTGGGAAAATGTACTCATAAGAAATGACTCTAAGCTGCAGATAGAGCCGTAAGAAATGAAAGCAGCTGATTTATTTAATGTTGTTTTTATAGGCAATAATTTAAGCTTAGTTAGTTCCAGGTTTAATATGTGCAATAAGTTCTGCAATAAACATTGAACCAGTCCGGCCCTCCACTAGCACCCATTTTTTTTATTTTGGCCCACTGTGTGTTTGAGTTTGACCCCCCTGCTTTAAATGTTTGTTTATTAGCCTCTGCTGACATGTTGACTTTGTTTCCTCAGTCTGAGTCCGATGGAGAGGAGGACGAGAAGGACAAAGATAAAATGAAGCCCAACGCAGGAAACGGAGCCGACTTGCCGAACTACAAGTGGACGCAATCCCTGTCTGAAGTAGACGTGAGTGTCACACTGTTTTTATTTAGCCAGAAACATCTCGTTTTCAAGAGAGTCCTCGCCTATATGGGTAGGTTAAAACAATAGCAGAGAACATATAGGGAGACAATCGGTACATCATCTTAAGAAGCATCTACAGACAGACTTGATTTTCGGTAATTTAAGCTCTCCTATTATTCAAAATGCACTTTTTAAAGGTCTTTTATACATCAATATGTGTCAGGAAATACAACCCTCTCTCTTTTCCTCCGTACCCACATCTCTAAAAACGGGGGAACAACGGAGCTGTTTGGTATTTTGAGCAAAACACTTCAGAGACAGGTTTTGTATAGATATGGCCCTATAATATATTGTTTAAATATAGCATGATAGGTGAGCTTTAAGTAGCACTTTAAGTCTGTTTAGAGCAGGGGTGCCCAACCAGTCGATCGCGATCGCGGGGAGATTCCCAGTCGATCGCGAGATGTGTCTAAAAATAGAACAACATTCTGT